AATAAAATTTTTAAAATCCCTCAAAAATAAACCAGCCAAACTTTACTCAAGTGCATCTTAAGTTACACTTCTGTAAAAAGTTATTTATTTTAAACAGCTGGAACCCAAGCCTCAACAGAATATTGTAACAAAACAGTGCTATGAATTTAAATGTTTTTCATGTTTTAATTACAAGAGAGCCCAGTGGTACCAATAGATTTTATATTCAGCAGATATTATACTCCTTGTCCTGATTTTTAGTCTAGAAAAATTCAATTTGCAAAAAGAAAAAGAAAAATAATGCCATCATAAATAAAAGCAGGAGCAGAGTGAATTTTTTTTTTTTTTTTTTGTTTTTTTTTGTTTTTTTGTTTTTTTGTTTTTTTTTTTATCTGAAGTAAAACCCTTAAGAAATGCAGAATCCTCGGGCAATGTGAGAGGAATTCACATCTTTCTAACTATTTTCAAGCTGTGATCCTTCCAATGCACTGTATTTACTCGTCTCGTTGCTATCCTCAGCAGAACACCTCATGGTACAAGTAGAACTTCTTGTGTCCAAAATAGAAGACCTTGTTCAGCAAGTGGATTTTTAAAATGTAATGGTAGTTCAGAAAATATTCTTCCTAGAAAACTTGTGTTTGCTATGTTAACCGCATTCCTGATGTACAGCTTTGACTCTGAAGATGAGTAGGTCTGAAACTCATATTTCTGAGATGTGACATCATTCTGCATTAGGTCTTGAAGCCTTCCACAGTCCCCAGTGGTCCCCCTGACAGATGAACCTATCTTCCATACAGATATCTCACTACAACTTCACTACGTTAAATTAGCATCTGTCCTAGATTAACCAAAGTTGAAATAATGGTGGCTTAGGCTCCAGAAATTTATTTATCTCTGCTCTACTTTATTTCAATCAAAATATGTTGCATGATTTATTTTGAAAGCCAATAACTATTTACCTACACAGGTGACCCAGATGTATACCTATGAAGCTGAGACTACAAGATGTTTGTCCTTCAGTGCTATCTGACATTTTGCATTGTAAATCTACTGTTAATTTTATTTTGGGATTGTAAACTGTGTGCTACCTTGTTTCATTTGTTGTAAAATTGCTACACGTTCAACAGAAAATGAAGAAGCAACCGCATATTTTCCTCTAGCTCCAATAAAGATAGCTGCTAAAGATTTGTAGAAAGAAATAGCTTCCATTGAAAGAGTATAATTTAGAGCAAACCCAGAAGGCCAATCATAAATCGGAATCTGATGTTTTCTACATCATAAAACAAAAGCTGCAATTACACAACTTGATATTTGAACTTTGGATTCTGGCAAATAGCAGCTGAAAACTCTTCTACAGCTTATGCCTCGCCTTGAGGCCAAGCTATCTGTGACTATGGAACACTGACTGATGTCTCCCTAGGCTATAGTCTCTCTCTAAAGACATTGCGACGTTGTAACAGAAAATAGTTTTTTTCTGACAGCAAGAAATAGCTAATTGGAATGCTACTGCTACTGTGAAAACTCCAAATATAGCGCTCCTCAAATCCCAAAGTTCAAGTGACTAATTATAAAAAAATTGCAAAAACCATTACCTGAAAGGGGTGCACAGAGGTATGCATTTACACCACCTGTATTTTAAGGTCCTAGGCATTCATACGCTTCTGTCCAGAAGTCAGAAAGCATTTTTAGAGCAGTACCCTGGCCTAAAAGTAAATTCCTGTTAAGAGGCTTATTTCAAGAAGTATTAAAGCCCAAGGAACCTGGCATCCACTGAAAGACAGTAACATTCTTCTTTAATTTAAGTTCATTATTATTTTAAAATAAAACCATCAGAAAACTGTATCCTGACAGCATCTGTCACATACTGCAAGGTAGATTAGGAGACGTTCACTGCGAGCCCTTATCACAGTTGTCATCATGCTGAGACTCACCATCTAACAGTGACTTGTATTCACTGCTCTCCTTTTTTCAATGCATGCTATGAAGAGAGCATTCTTCAAATCTTTTGACAACTAGTGTGCAGGGAGAATTTTACTTGCTGGTACTCACTCACATCAGAGCTATATCCACAGCCTTCTGTGTATAACTAAAGCAGAAGTGAGTTCCAAGACATTTATGAAGCCATACAAAATTGTCAGGATTTAATATTTTCAAATAACAATTGCTCAGAACATGAAAGTCTAATTAACTTTCTGAACACTACAAACCCTGAGTGAGAAGAAAAACAAAATATAATTTCTCAATATTAAATAAAACATGTATATAGGATATGAATTTTAAAGCACACTCTATCACCATCAACTTTCTGGCAGAAGAATTTAAATTTATCCAGAGATCATGGTACATTCAATATCTAATTGGTGGTCATCCTCCAGTGGTATTTTTTACTTTCCTATATTTACGTATAAATCAAGTCATTGTCTTTTGTTGTCTCTCACAATAAACAGACAACTCCAATTCTTTTTTCAGTGTCAGTATTTTGTAGAGCACATCCCAAGAGTTTGCACAGCTAGAAGCTACAGCCATATAGCTATAGCTAGATATGGCCCAGATGTGTCCAATAGCAACAGAACATAATTCACTCACAGAAAATGCACCTGGGGGGATCTCACACATGCCAGAATGTTATCATGAACTAAAAACTATGAAAACAAAAGATGTACGTATCCATTTGTATATGTGAAACACGTCTACACATGTATTAACTCTGCATTACTACAGATGTGGTATCTATAAAATAAGTAATATTCATATCCTAGATAATCTGTACCCTTAGTCACATTTACACTAAATAACCTGCAGGAAGTCAAAGGGAGGTGATGGAAAAGTTACTAGGGAAGAGTGAACAGCTTATGGGAGATAGGAGACAGTGCTGAAATAAATTTAAACATAAATATAATCAGTAAAACGGCAACGCACCTTATTCATTAATCATGATGTTCTCTTCTGGATGCTATGTTTTATTGTTCACAAATTACCCATGAGTTACTGATATAAAAATACAAAAAGGCCTACAGAGCCTTATATCTTCCCCCCCAGTGGCTGATACAACTAATAAAAAAATTGCTACAGGTTTATAGGAAAACTGTATTGAAGAACTGGACTGTCTTAAGCTCTCTGAGAGAACTGATCTCCAAGTATAATAACTGAATAAAAAAAAAAAAAAAATAAAGTAACTGAAGAAGTTTCACCAGGATCATTTTCTTCTGCTCAGTATCCTATCATATCCCTTCGTTACTATTTCAGCTTATCACCACATCCTCATTATTTCACACTGAATGAAGTGAAGTATCTGATTCAGAAGGCCAAGGACTCCTAGTAATGACCATGTAACAACACAACAACACTTTCCAACTACTTCCATTAACATTTATGATTCCCAAGCCAGGGATACAGGGACTTTGAAGACCTCAACATTTGAAAAGTCAGAGAAGGAGAAACAGGAAAGCCCAATTAAAATTCCCTTTTTATTTTGGCAGAAGTGGAGATAACTGATAGGAAAAAGAATATTGCCAATTGTCAAATCTTGTCAAATCCAAATCTTGGATTCACCTATCCTCAACTAGACAGAGGATGGGGTAAAAAGTGAGCATTAAGGAAGGCAGAAAGATGTGTTTGAACCAGTAGCAGATAGTGCTATCAACAGGTAGGTATCAGGATAAAGTCACAGCAAAATGTGCCAAAATTATCTATAATTTATTTTAATTATTTCTTATGTTATTAGCAATGTGCTGAGGTACAGTCTATATCTTGCCATAACTGAAGCCAGAAAATTTAGAATAGAAAAGAATTTTACACCAGTTAAATAAAACCTCTGTATTTGTAATCCTCTTAACCCTCAGAGAGGTAATAAATAGTTATGCTCTAGAAAAATAATAGTTGTGCAACTAAATGGGCTACTCTGATTTCTTTGTCTGCATGAATCTTCACACATATGACCACTAAAATCAATAACTTAAATTACTTGACTAAATATTTACTGTCTGAATGAGATTCAGTATTCAGTGATAAAACCACTTGAAGCTTCAGCTGAAATTATAGTGAATTCATTAGTGTTTTTACCTGTGTGACAGGTATTGTAAATCTGTCTCAAGGAGCTAAATTTTAGCAGGTTCCTGCATTTTTCATTAGGAATTAAAGAGACTATTTCATTAAACAAGACAGATAAAATCTGGTCAGTTTTCATTTGCAAGATTAATAGAGTTTTATCTTAAGTTGTAGTAGCTGAAGATTACTAAACACACAACTACAGTTGGACTATCTACCTAATGAGAAAGCCTATGCATTTACCAGAGTTATACAGCAGTGCTGTGGTATAAATACATGTTATGCTATAACAGCTGGTAAAAAATTGAAATTAAATGTCTAATTTATGTTTAATTTGGATTTGAAAATTGTAAATGTTATTTTGAGATAAAAGCTGTTACGTGAACAGAATATGCTCCGGAAAACATCGGTTTATGGACAACTCTCAATTGGAGCTATTTAGGCAGAAAAGCATCAGTCTGCAGTGGTGGAATCCATGTTATGAAGTCCTAAAAGTGAACAAGGAGACTGAGAAGCAAATAGAGACAGACAAGGGAATGAGAAAATTGCCCAAATCACAGCACAAAGTGAATACTCATATCTACGAATTGTATACATAGTTCATTTCACTGAACAGCTCATCTTCATCTGGAGAGAAGCAAGACAGCTAACAGTGTTATGTTTACTTTTGTCAGACTAGTTACTCCAGCTAAAAAAAAAGCAACTTGGAGGCCTTTTAAACAAATGTGGTTCTGCAATATATGTGTAAGAGATCAAGAAGAAGAGTCCATGTGGGCAATACTGACAGCCACGGCTTCCCATGAAGCTTATGGCTTGAAAAAAGACTCTATGACCAGCCAGGGAATGATGGTGCTGCATATTACATTTAATTAAGAATAGTCACTTCAAGGCAAATACATATACAGATATTTCTGTATGAAAAGAATATTTTTTCTCCCACTCACATTAATAATTATTATTCTATAAATAGTTACCTTGTGGCTGACGACTTGGATGATATATCTGAAGATCAAATGGCTGAGCACTTGTTTTTTGTATTACACTGACATTTTGGCCAGTCCATTTATTGGCTTTTGCAAGTGTATTGGTCCGCCAGTCTGTCCAATAGACTTCACTCCCATACAAAGAAACAGCAAAAGGGTGAGAAAGATATTCATGACCCCGTATAATCTCTATCATGCTGGTTCCATCATACAATGCAGAATAAATGGCATCCGATCTACAAGATAACCCCAAATTTAAGATTACATAACAATAAAATAAAACCACACAACCGTTATGACATTAGGGCAAAATGTATAAAAACCTTACTCTTAACATATTAAAAAGACCAACGAATAGAATGTTTACAGTGCAATCATTAACTTCAGAGATAGCAATTCACTTAATCAATTGAACTACAGATAGCTGGTAGGGCAGAGGCTTCTCTGTCCAGGGCCATATCCCATTGCCCTGAGCGATGTGAGCAGAGCAAACCCCAGAAGCGATAGCTAGGTTCAGCCAGGAGTCCAAAAAAACAAAACAAATTGTGGTGACAAGATAGGGTCAGGCTAGGAATCCACCCTGTGGTTTGGGACCTGGGCCAACAGGGCCCATTGCCAGGCAGTGCTGCGGCTGGGCTGGAGGCAGGTGCTCCAGTGGCATCACTCAAGGCAGGGGCTGAGCCCCAGGACTGAGCTGAAAAGGGCTCCTGGGACCACAGGCACAGTGTGTGGGGGAAACTGCCCAAGAAGCCTTTTAGGGCCATTGTGGTCTGCTGGTGTGGATCATGAAGACCACAAAGAAATGATGTATAACAGTAATGAGACTAAAGAAATGTACACACTGCAGATTTGCATAGAAGACTCTTTATGTACTTCATGGACATAACTACATTCCCCTCTCAATGTAGCTCACGCTTCTGTATGTAAGAATGAGAGTTTATGAATAGGTAATAAGAATATTGTTAGCACTTTACCTGGCGTCTGTCCATACTATTCTTTTTTCAAAGTGATCTACAGTAAGGCCATTAGGCCAGGCTCCAGTATCCATATCTTTATATATGATCTTTCTTTCTGCTCCGCTCATGGAAGCGGATTCAATGCGAGGAAAATTTGCATCCCAGTCTGTCCAAAACAGAATTCTGGTAAGAGCAAAAGCAAAAGAAAAGAGATACAAGAAAAATGTGACATTATTAAGGATCATCTAAAATGATCAATGACAATATAAAATGACAATACTCAAAAATATTTTGACCATTCACATTTTTAAAATTAAAGGAATAAACACAGATTAATTTAGGGAACTACAGAAACTCCTTGAAGTAATGGTGTAGCATGGAGAAAATAATTATTAGTGTTAGAGCAATTATGAAACAAAAAGTTTTTTAAAAACTTGAAGTTTAATAATGTTCCCTTTTTCATGTCCATTAATAGAACTAACAGTTTGTCTTGTCTTCCTTCTATAATTAGAAACCCAACTCATTAAAGAAAAATTATAATGAGAGCCTTTGAAAGCAATCTACAGATGAGGAGGACGGGGAAGGAAGACAGGGAAGAAAGGTGATTTAGGTAGGCAGGGATTAAAGGCCAGGCTAAACTAGAGATTTCCATTTATTATTAAGAGTGCGCCAATGAAGACCCCTGGATTTTGCTATGTCACTAACAAATTTTATTGAGATTAGTTCAGCTAATCTGTATAAAATTCAGAAGACTGAAAAGATGTGATGTGTGGTAGGCTCACTCTCTTGGTTATGTACCATCTCAAATTTCTTTCCCCGAAAGGAGAGCTTTCACCTGTATAACCAAGGAAGTTTCTTATTGAGTAACAGAAGCAGCAACACCAAAAGGCCAAAAATACACTGACTGTTCTTACCTTGTTAAGTTTTCAACAACACAAACTTTTTCTTACTTGTTAAAGAATACCTTTGACCTGAAAAATTTTAATTAGTTGTAAAGAGCAAACTGCAGAAAGTCAGACTGTAACACAGTTTTGACAGGTAACAGTCCTGAACATACATCCTCATAAGGACTCTTCATTTAGTGCCTGTGAAGAGTAGTACACACTATACTTAAATACTAAGGGATAAGGGTGTAAAATCACAGAACTGTAGAATTGTTTAGGTTGGAAAAGACCTTCAAGATCATTGATTCTAACCATTAACCCATCATTACCAAGTCCACCACTAAATCATGTCCCACAGCACCACATTTACATGCCTTTTAAACCCCACCAGGGGTGGGGACTCCACCACCACCCTGGGCAGCCTGGGCCGGGCCCTGACAACCCTTTCAGGGAAGAAATTGTTCCTCAGATCCAGCTTAAACCTCCCTGGGACAACTCACAACTGAGTCAGGAGAAGAGACCGACCCTCACCCCACTAGAGTCGCCTTTCAGGGAGTTGTGAAGGGCAAGGTCATCTCCCCTGAGCCTCCTTTTCTCCAGGCTCTACAACCCCACTTCCCTTCAGCCACTGCTCATGAGACTTGTGCTCCAGGCCCTTCATTGCCTCTGTAAAATACAAAAGGCAGTCTTTGTACCAAATTCCATCTCCCTCTCCCTGGGTGAGGGTCTCCACTCCATGTGTGTATAGATGGCTGTGTGCTAGGAGCTGGAGCCAGAGAACAGGTCCCAGGGACTCTACATCTGGGGTGCCAGCAACAGGAGCGAGTGAGGGTGGGCATGAGGGTGACGGTCGCTGGCCCGGGTGATGCCAGACTCACTGGTGAGCGTGTTCAAGTTTTGAATATCTCCAGAGGAGGAGACTTCACAGCCTCTCTGGGGCCAGCCACTGGGTAGATTGTCTAAACCCAGACTCTGGAGGAATCCACATTATACAGACATGTTTCCCACTGAAAGACCTTCATCCTTAACAGGGACAGAGGTTAAGATCAGACCATTTGTGCTGTTTGCCCCAGTGCTGAGAGTTTACATATGCACGTTTATTTATATGCATATCTCTGTGTGTGTGTACTAAGAATACCTGCTCAGCCTCACTGAAGGCTGGGATGGAGTTCTGCTCCTCCAATGGGACTCAGGATTTGTGCAGTTCTAACACATCCATCTACTTTGAATCATCGGTGTTTATTGATATTTGTTTGTGAAGCAGATTGAGAAACTGTTCCCATCTGTGTTCAAAGATTTTATTCTTTCCTCCCTTCTAAAAGAACGTGCCATAGAATTGCTTCTAGCTTTTGCAAGGGCAGGTTAAGCCTTCAGTTTCTGGAAGTGTGGTGATTATTTCCCCTTCCCCCCCCAGGCACTTAATTTGAACAGCTTATTTGCCAGTTCTTCTGCCAACAGGATGCCTCCTTAAAGATCTCTACAGATAAGCAATGCACTCTTCAAACAAGCGTTCTAGCATCAGAATCAAGAGGTCTGAGTCCCTAGTCACCTTCTTACCTTTAATTAGGTCCCAGGATCTGGAACCTTTATCTACTTTTATTTTTATATCCACACCTGTCTTTCCAAAATATTTATTAAAGACCCGTGATAGATCATAGCAGGTTCCTAAAGAAAATTAAATATCATGGCTTTGCAAATTCATTGCAATCTATATTATTTTTGGCCACATTGTATTTGTGGGTGGTGGTTTATTTATTTATTTTACCTCTAAAAGAACTATTATGAGAAGAGGATGTAGCTATTGACCATTACATCTTGGCATCTCTAAGAAGACATCTACATACAATACTGGGTATGAGGTTTCTGTACCAAGTTCACAATTTCATATAACCTCAAAAGAGTGCTCTAACTCCACGGATCATAGATTTTTTTTCTAGTCATGGACTGAATTTCAATACAAAATCAGAACTGACACCTGGCTCAACAAGGAGTTAAGTGTTCCATGAACTGTTTTACTTCCTTTATTGATTTAAATTTTAATATGAATGGCATATATGGCTCATTTTTGCTCTGCCAAAAAAAAAAAAGAGAGGCTAATTGTTGACCAAAATAGCCTAAAAACAAAATAAAAAAGAAACTTTGCTTATTTTATTTTTACCCCTTGTATGTTTGATGATTGCTAAAATTACACTTTTTTGAGTAACAGTTTTTGTTGGTTTTGTGTGTTACCAAAATCAGGCAATATTTTGATTTAAGCATACTTCTTTTAAACACCTATTTTTGGCCAGTTTTAATTAGAATTTTGTTTATACTATGAAAACATTCTGATACTTATTAGAAATATTTAATTACAACAGGCTTTACATAAAATATTTATTTATGGTAGTAGGCTGAATCTACTGGTAATAATATTTTAGTTTACTGAATATCCTTTATGAATAGGTAGAAAAAAATACTGACAGAAGTTTAAGAGAGAAGAACCAAACACAAAAGGTAGGATTACTCCACTCATCTTTGTTTTCCAGTAACATCTAAGCTATATTCTTATAGTCCCAGGAAGAAAAAAACAAACAAACAAACAAACCAACAACAGAAAAACAACACATCAGTCTCCAAGTGAGATGAATCATGGTAGCAATACCTAAGTCTGTCCATCAACCACACAGGAAGATTAGACCAAAGGCTCCACTTATTATCATGCACATCAAAAAATTAAATTAAACACTCACATAGCAAGGGAAGTAATTTGCCAACAAACAGACCCCTGTATCTCCTGACTTACCTTTTCTTAACCTGTTTCACTGGGGCAAAGCACACTAATACTGAATTATTGTATTCACTCAAAATATACTTTGAAGAACTGCTAAAGATACGTTAGAAACTGTAACTCACAACAAAAAAAGAAGATGAATCTCACATTTAAACCTTTTCATAATTACCCATATCTGGGATCCAAAGCAATAGCCCGTGGATGTTCCATAGCTCCTGCTATTAACGTTGTTCTTAAAGTGCCATCTAATTTTGCTACTTCAATTTGGTCCAAATTGCTGTCGATCCAATATATGTTTCCTGCAATCCAGTCTACAGTAAGACCTTCAGGTGTGGCCAGGCCATGTTGTACCACCACCTCAATGGCACTAACACCTTAAAAAAAAAGGAGGAAAAATAAAAGAAAAAGAGAGTCTTAAAGAACTAATATAGAGTCTGATATAGTGAATGTGGTCACAATAGTCTATCATGTGCTCTTGGAGTGAATTCTTGATTAGTCTGATGGATGATAATACTTTGTTCTGTGTGACTTTTCTCCTTTACGACGGCGACAGACTACTGTAAGTAAGTACTCTGTTGGCAGTATACAGATAAACTTCAGTTCACAGTAATAGAAATTCTTAGTTCTCTGATGCTTTAGTAAGTGAAGCTCTGAAACTTTCAGAAAATGTCAGAGATCACATGCAGACTAGCACAGGACACGTAGAAGTGCCCTATTACCAGCAACCTCTGTTGCAGCACCTATGAAGGACATGCTCATGCTCCACCTCCCAGTGACTAGAAACATTACACAAAACTCATGCAGCTCGACTTCAGTTCCTTCTCATTCAGAAAAACAGAGAACTGAAAGCTTGAGATGAAGACAAAAATGACAGGGAAAACCGTTTGGACTACCCACTTTGAAAAGCTCTACAATAAACAGCCTTACTTTTGTTCCTTCAAATTCACAGCCACAATTCATACTGTCTCTGTCTACTATCAGCTCCTCACTATCAAATACTTCCTCTGGAGGCTCTCGATTTTTTTTCACACAAAAGGCCAACTACAGAAGCACTCTGTTAGCCCTCAGGACTTCCAGAAGGCACAGTGATTTTCACAGATGTACATCACAGAAGTCATCTGCATTCTGGTACAGTGTGATTATGATAGAGTGTGATGACAACAGAGTGCCTTACAGGTTTAAAACAAACACCACAACTGGTAGTGAAAAGTAGCAACTCTTGGGCTGTCTTTAGATACTTGGCAGTGTAGGGTGTTTCTTTCCTGGTCTAGATCTGTGGGTGTAAAACCACCCACAAATGCTGTCTACTAAGGAGAAGAGAAAAAAACAACCAACCAACCCAGGAAACAGACCCCAAACATGTTGGACGACATGCACATGAATGCATACATCAACTTTCACAGAAGCAAGGTTAAACATGTTATGCCTGTTAGCTCATGCAGGAATGGATGCACCTGAATATGCACTTCAGCAAAGAACACTCTGTAGACACACTTTTGTATGTATCCTGAGGTTATATTGAGTTACAGGCCATAATTATGTCACCAGGGTAAAGAACAAGTCTTTCTGAATGTTATAAAAATACAAAGTAAAATGTTTCATTTAGTGAGAGCAGATAATTTATCAGGCAACTGATAAATTCTTCTACTTTTTTAATAAGGTGAAGGTAAATTACAAAGAATGAAAAAAATCAATATTGCACTCATTGGACCAGGAAGAAATACGAGTCCTTTGCACTTGCCATTTTCTTCCTCCTATAGCCTATTATGAAAGGAAACTTTTATAACAAAACCACTTTTTCTAGCTCTACATCACATACAATCCAGACATACACCTTTTAAAAGGTGGAATGCCATCATAAATTCAATTTCTGTGAATAGTAGCTCAGTCACAATTCATCAGGTCTAACACCCTACATGTAACCGCAGTTGTTCTTACTGTTAAGAAATGAAAGATTAGATTCATACCTCCAGTATCAGAGAGCTTGCCTCTGTAAATTTTGTCCTCTACCACATCTGTCCAGTACAGTAAACTCTGACTGAAATGAAAATCAAGTGCTATGGTATTTCTTAAACCAGGAACTAAGAGGCTGTAGTCACGTTTGTGAAGATCAATTTTTCTGATCTCATGTCGAATAGAAAAAATTATGAAAGCCTCAAATGGATCTGGAAGCACAAGATTACACATTTCAAAAGAATAATAAAGATACTGTTACATATTGATATAAATGACAAGTGGTATAAGAACAACAGAAAACTTCATCAGGAGAAACAGATGATTAAAACAGTTCATCTTCTAATAAGGAAACTCTCAAAGACATTTTTAGTCCCATAGACTTGTCACTTCTCCCTTCTAGGCTTACCTTTGATCACAACTAGAGATTAATATTAAACATCAAATTTGGGAATATCAAACAACTCTTGAATTGTGTTTTGTAGCTCTACCACAAGGAGTCCATAATTAGACCTTAAAAAAGTCACGTTATCAACATTAAAAACTGTTTTCTCAAAAGTTCCAGAAAAATTAGACACCATTTCAAACATCAGTGAGTCGAAACAATTAACTAATATATATATAATGTACCTTGTGTGTTGTACAGAAGTTCTTAAGAAAGAAAGACTCACACCCCAAAGTAACAAGCAAGAAAATTAACATTTTACATACTTATTGATACACCCCATCACAAATGCAGCTATCAATAAAGTTTTCCTTCCTTTGTTATTCAATTACTGCTAGATTATTTGTGCCATACCAAACTATAAATATCTGTGGATGCTCTCTGCATAGGTCTACCACAGTATAAAATTGTCTCTTTATAGATTTTACCTATTTTAGATTAGGAGATGTTTTTCAAACCAGGAGATGTATTAACAAAAAAAGAAACACACAAATGGGATTCTATAAATGGTTGAATCAACATGGTGTATCTACTTTAATAAAAAAGGTTTTTCACACCAATCCTTTTCTGTGGGAACACAGGTTTGTGGTTGTTTTGTTTTGTTTTTTCCCTCTATTTCCACCATCCTTGGTTCTTTGTCCTAGAGCAAAACACAAATGCTGCTGGGGTTTTTGTTTCCCATACAATTAAATCTCCATTTTATACACAAGACAGATTATTGGCAGTTGATGGCAACAGGCAGTATTGCAGTATTGCATTGTTCCTCTATGATATTGGAAGAAGAGGTTGCACAAATCATCACCAAATAGAAAGATGCTTAGAAACCTCTCTTCAAAAAGATTAATTTAATGTTCTTTTCTTGATAACCACTTCACAAACAGATTAAACTCTCTAGGATGCGTTAAATTAACCGAGCACCTCAGCAGACCTATGTTTCTGCTCTTGAATTACTTGTTCATAATCTGACTTGGGCTTTCCAAATGATCCTATTTCTTAAAGAAATGAATGACTTTCTGTAAAACCAATTTTTCAAAGCTCTGCAGTAGTTAAATAATTGAACGAAGAAGAGGAACACTGGCATTAGTATCTATTTCACAATTACCAGTCATCTGAACCTGAGGAACACTTTAATGGCACTTCCAAATTTCTGATCCTGTTATGCAGGAGACCACAGGCTATTGACATACTATTTTTTAGGCAACTCCAATTCAGAAGAACACACAAGATTGATATCACCAGTAGCTTCTTTTATCTTTCTCAGTAATTGACACCTCAATGGAAAAAAATAAAACTAACAAACACAGACTAATAAATCTGTGCTACGTTGGGTGGTTTGTTTTTTTTTTTTTTAAAGTACAGGAAGTCTAGCTTACACTACATAACCTACAGTGCAAATTTCCAAATACATTGATAAAAAGGTTTAGAGCTCAAAGGGATCTTGACAGATTTAAGGTACAATACTGAAGAATGTAAATGAACAAAGAGAAGTGGATAAGAAAAGGTGTAGGCAAAGATGCACCATTTGGTTTATTTGGACATTTTGGTTTAAATGAGCAGGTCATATGCTACTTTCCCCCCATCTTTCTTACCCTTCCCATAACAATGAATGGAAATAAATTCACATACTTGGTTACTGTGGCTGATACACAGTCAAGTCACAGATGTGATACTGCATAAAACAAAAGAATGATTGATACTGTGACAATCAAGAGACACTGCATCACAGTGCAGAATTTCTCTGGAAACAATTCAGAAAGCAGAACAGGAACCATAGGTTCCTCTCTGATAAGGCTGTTTAAATATAGCCAAACAGATCACAGTACTTAACACCTGGCTGGTGAGTGGTGAGCCAGAGTCCAGCCCCTGCTCTGTTTTACATAATGTAGCCACCAATCACTGTAGCCTGGATGACTGGAGCAGTCTAGAATTTTACTTATTACTGCCGAATCCCCCTCCCTTATTATTTTATGAGTGGCAAGTACCACATTTCAACGATAAAAAGTTGCATAAAACTCAGTATACAACTGATGTGATACCACATCTGTAGGAAAGAATCTAGAAAATTAGTTCAACAATGACATGGCACTGTAAATAAGGCTAACTCAAGGTTTGCACTTGCAATAAATATGACACAGCCCTGCTACTCTCTTCTCCTAAGCTCTGGTGAAGACAGCCTAAAATACCACCCTCTGTCCTGAGCATGGCTCAAAGAAGAACGTGAATCAACCAGAGGAATAGAAGAGGAAATCAGCAAATGTTGCAAGAGGTCTAGAGGAAAGAATGAACAATTTGAAGTTGCTTTACCTAAAAACCAGTGGAATAAGATGATGAGTGGAAGCACAGAAAATTCTCCAAAGATATAAAAAGCTAATGAATTGAAAATGGGAAAAAAACTTGTTTTCTATATAAAAAACAAATAGGCCAAGGATTAAAGTCTTAAACTGGAGCAGGAAGACTCAGAAAGACCAGGACAGAAGAAAAAATCTTAAGGAGAATGAGGTACTGAAACACCTCACCCCTGGGAAACTTGGGACTTCACTATTGAAAATGTCTTGCAGGACTTTGAAAGCAGAAAAACTGCAGCAGTATTAGCCTTTGATCTTCCTTCCAACCTACTCATTCAATATAAAAATTCAGTATTTCCAACACAAATTTCAAAAAGTCACATTCAATATAAAAGCTCTATGAAGTGAGCTTTATTATACTGAATTAGAATTTTCAGACTGACTTAATTTTTATTAAAAAAAAATAAAATAGAGATGCTATTTTCCCACTTGACTCCTCTTCTGGAATTCAGAGCAAATACTCTTTATCTTGCCAATTAGATACGATTATTTTCATAAAACATCACCTTAACTCAATTCAGTGTAATAGTTATTGATTCTATTCTTTAAAGCTTCTCTTACAGAAAAATAATTGAAAAATCTACAATTTATTAGTGAAAAATCTTATATTTCTGTACATTCTTTCATGGCTGCACTGAGCTTATTTACCATGTAGGTAAGTGTATAAAATATGATACAAACATAAATCATTAACTATATTAAGAGCTGTAAGAAGAAAATTCTGATAGAAGGAAACCGACTAAACAATACACAGAAAAAAGACTGTATAGAAAGAATAAAGCTTCATCATTCACCTTTTCCAGTGGTTTTAAGTTAAAATTCTTTCTTGGGAAAAATGCTAACTGAAGCTTATTGTTTCACTGAGGTTTACTCTAACAGCAGCACAGCAAGAAGCCTACACTGTGCTTTTATGAAATTTACCTCAAAGGAAAATAACTTTATAAAGAGATAGGAAAAAACGGTCATTAAAAGTTTGACATTGCTCAGAGAGGATTAGATGATCCTTTTTTCTTTTTCTTTTCCCTCCCTACATGTTAGTATTGAAAGTAATCTTAAAATTATAACAAAATTGGATTAATCTAGCTAAACTAGACCAAACGTATAGACACACCATCCTCTTTTCCGAATAGATATGTAGTGATAGAACAAAGTTCCACAGCTTAGAAAAGGTTGACAGTCGTTTTCTGACTAAATCTAAACAAAGTTTAGTTTTTCTGAGTTCATCTATCTTCTCTTATACTAAATTCTGAAAGGCTGAGCATAAACATGAAATTTAAGTATCTTTCTAGAATATTTTTTTTCTGCATGTTTGTTATCATCTAAAAGAGTTCAAGTGCAATATATCAGCACAACTTCAAAACATGTTCCAAAATAAATTGGGAAGAGTACAAAAATATATAATTTATATTAACTTTCTATCTGAATAATGGAGCTCTGTATCATGCTTTTAGTTCAATAAACACAAATTTTAACACGAACAAAACATTTAGGTTTTGGGAAGTCAGCAATGTAGCAGTACATGTCAGAAGAGCAGAATGCAAACTAGATGAAAACAAGAGACATGGGAAGTGAAGAAACTATGAAGTAAAAAAACATAACACTTAAAGCCTTCAAGGAATGAGGGGAACATAAGCAGAAACAAGGAAAAATAGCAGAAACTAAGAGAAAGACATTGAAAGAAAAACTAAAAAGCACTGTTCAATTTGAGCAATTTATTTCTATATGCTTATTATTCCATAACTAATGACATTTCTCTGGTAATTCATTAGATTCCTCTGACAAACACACTATTCAATACTGATATGCCATCAAAAAAACTACACCCCAAACCCAATCACATTACTGCATTTTCAGCATTCATATTCCCATTAGACATCTGATGGACACTCAAGTAAATGTTTTTACAATATTTTGAAAAAGGTGTGTTAGTTACTGCTCTAATATAGTACACAGCTACTCCCAGTTTAAGGCATTTTAAAACACTGTGGCTACTGTAAGACTTACTTTATAGCAACTGTTATTGAAGAAGTAATTTGGCATTTGGAGGACTGTTTATCTTGCAAGATCACTTTGAACTCTACTCGTAATAGCATTTTATGAAAGGTTTTTTCTTTTATTTTACATCCATTTAATGTCTCACACACAGAGACCTAAATGGCATGGAATTTTTAAGGCCTACAGATTCACAAACGAGACCAAAATTGTGTTCATTTTACTAAAATGCTGTTCACAGAGTCAACAAATTAAGTATCAAAGGATCTATCCTTCAGAATATTTATCATGTCTTTCAAATGAAATCAGCTGTACGAGGCTAATTTTATTAGTGACTATTAACTTACTTAATACAGAATAATTTTGTAGCTTTAATGGCTTTAGTACAGCATCTTTACGTTTGTCAAGAACGGTATAACTTTTTTTTGTACCAGCTGACATCACTGATCTCAGATCATATATTTATTGTTACATGCTTTGAGAAAATTTGTAAAAATCAATTTGCAACTTCAGATTCTCACCATCATCAGTAAACATTAAGCAGAATTATCTCATGGGCTTAAGAAAATCTGAGAAACTATAGTCCCACTTTTTTTCTTTTCAGCACATGAGTATATTCCACTTTGTTTTTTTCTCCCCTAGCTTCCAAATACTGGTTCATTTCTGTTTGCTTAAACTCTTAAGTTTTTTTCAAGCTTTGCTCCAGCTACTAACAATATCTTAAATCCTTTTATTCCTTTTACTTCTGTAACCCAGCAAGACTGAGCTTTTAGAATTACTGGAAATGTCCATAATAAAACAAATTAGATTGATGAAAAGTCAATGAGAATAAGAGTAAAACAGTGTCAAAAATAAGAATTAACAGCAATAAAAAAAAAGTTTAGCTATACAGAACCACAGCAACATGACAGTGAAGCATCATTTGAGAGTCTACTATCAGAATAGCTCAGTAGCATCTGAACAGCACACGTTCTTCACCTCACACTGCAGTAGTACCTATTTACATATGATAGATAATTATGGAGACAAAGATTCCATTTGGAAATCATTCTGAAAAATGTAACAACAGTTATTCCAGCCTGATGAACATAAACCACAGTCTTAATGAATTTAAGAGATAGCTCAAAGGCGAGATGTGCAGTTCATGAGCATTTCCTCAAAGCTCTTTAAGCAAACATCCATGATATAAAACTAGATTTTCATGATTCACTGTTTTGCAAAGAGAAACATTATTTTTATGACACCCAAGAGATATTTTGGCCATAAGTAAATTATGGACTTTGTTACTACTACAATGATGTTCTAAAATGTTGTGTAAATTAGCTCAAACATTGTCAAAGAAGAAAGATTAGAATTTGCCTTTTCTGAAACATGGACCATTAAGTTGGCTGCTCACTAGCAAAGTATTTCAGGTGACTAGCAAAAGGACACCTGGGCACTTTTTTCTATATCACTGATCCAGGGTTTTTTTTTCTTGTGAATCATCTGAAGAAATTCTGAGTATCTGGAACAAATCAAGAACATCTTAATCATGATTTCTCTTCAATTGTGATATATCCAAGTAAGTGATAGACCGTTTAGAAGACCTTTCTACTCAGAATTGATAAGACACTATCAAAGAATAAAGATAATGAAGAATAAAAATATCAAAGAATCATAAACTGAAAGTTTTGAAAATCTAGACAACAATGTTATTTTTAACTACCTACACAAGGTGTTAGAGATGTGATGACAGCTTATACAGCACATAGGTTTTTGTATTTCACACACTTATTCACACTACACTTGAAGAAGACACTCCTAACATAGCTTCTAACTCATGCTTCAGTATGTATCAATAAAGAACAAAGAGGGAAAAACATTGATTAGGGAGGTGAACAGGTTTACTGATCTCAAAAACCAAGTACCACCATGTTGCAGGTGAAAAAATAGCTTAAACTGTGAACATTAACAGGCAGCAGATAATTGACTATATGTGCGTGGATGAATGTTCAAAATTAAACTTCTGAACCTTCAGGTAATACTGATCAATATCACCACATTACAGGTTGATCCATTTCCTCAAAATACATAGTAAATCACTTATATTCCAGATATACACACACATACATATCCCCTGCATATTAAATATACTTAAAAAACTGTATACAACATCAAAACACCTAGAAATTATTTGGTATTAACATTCTTAGAAAGACTTGTACATAACAAACTACTATTGCAACACCCCTTTGTCCTGCATCAAGAATAGAGACAGCTTTAATGAGTTATGTGGAGTGCTATCAGCCCCACATTTGAGTAATCCAAGCCTATATTTCTTGTTAAAAAAAAATAACCTTTCACCAGACTTAACAGCTATTAACATATGGAATATTGAAAATACACTAAATTTCAACTTACCTGTGCTAATGCAATTTTCTCCATCCTTACTAAGCTTCCAGCCTTCATAACACGAGCACTTGACAGTACTTTTATGTTGTTCACACACTTGACTACACTTAAGGTGCTTGGTACAGTAATCCATAATCTCACAAGTTTTGTTGTCTATACTGAGGCTGAATCCTGCAGGGCAGGAGCACACAATTCTTCCTCCAGGAACCACAGAACATTGATGGCTACATCCACCATTGTTAAGTGAACATTCATCTGAAATAAGATGGAAAACAAACAAACAAAACAAAACCACTAAAAAAAAACAGTAAGGGCCACAAGGACTGTCAGTCATGTTGCATATTCTTTAAGTCACCAGGTCAACTAAAACACATAAAAGGTTCCTAAAAAGCACAAACTGAATTTTGTAAAACTTAAACAGCTTTCTAAATTTATTTTTTAAATTATCTCATTTGTAAATGTTCAGCATGGTAGCTTTATGGTAATCTTTCAGGATTTTACAATGGCAGATGTACAGTGTGTGTATATATATATTTACAGACCCTCATGCATATTATTGCATTTACTTCAGAATTAAAGTGTCCATACAGAGTCAGTCCAAAGACCATTACAGGTCAACTACCTTCAGTGGTGATCAACAGCTGATGAGAAATAAAGATACTTTGCCAAATACTTCCCTTGCCTCCAGTCCCTTGACCTTGCAGAGAGAAGGCTCCAACTTAGTCCTATATCACAAGTAGTTATCAAAGAAACACGTACAGTTAAGATTTAAAATCAGGATTTCTTTCTCCTCATTTTTCCAGTAACAGCTACTAGAGAAAAACACTTCTGCACTCTCTGTGGCAGTGCTCTCCTATTATATTCTGCAGGTAATTGATGATTTGCAAAGCTATGCTAAAGGGACTGAAGGTGATTTTGGAAACCTTTAAAGCATCTGAATTAAAAGTATGATAATTGTGTCTGTGAGAAATTCTGTGATCTCTGGAGCAAAAAAGCATATAATTACTCCCTACCTCACAGTACTACTGATATCCAGGGAATCAATGGGAGGGCAAAACTGGTCTGTTGTTACACTGGAAACTAGGCTTCACTTTTATTTTTTGATCTATTTGTGTCTTTCAGTTATTTTGCTTGATTCTAACAAGTCTCTGAAAGTCACTTGTGATAATATGTAAGAAACACAACAGTTTCCTACAGAAGAGTTATCTCCATCCCATATAAAAACCAACAAAACCCAAAAACCTCAATACTTCTTCTAGAAGTCCTTCATTCAGATTTCAAATTTGTTCTCTGTTTGTTTTTTTTATATCATGACAAAAAAGGATCAAGATCCATTATGTGTCTAATATGCAAATATGTTATCAAACATCCCATATTTTTAACTTGAGTTTACGCTTAGGTATGTTCTAAAACTAAATAATTAACAACTGCTGAAATACTTGTTGACAAAAACCACACCATCTAAGAGCTGTAGCAACTGTGACAAACCAAGCTTGGCTCTCTATAGTACTCCACAGGATATAGGTGTTGTAGTGGGCTACTACTAGTAGGAAGATAAGTGTCCAAACACAGAGACAGCAACGAAATAATATAAGTGACTTTATGCTATCATTTCTTTCACCTGGAGCCTAGACAACATGGGATTCACCTACAACATAATCTTAATTTATTCCAGAGGAACACTTGATTTAAGATCCCCCCCTTTAGCACAGGGCAGGAGAGCAGGGTGGTGTGAAGATCTCTGCCATATCCTGCAGCAAATGCTGCCCAGGCAGTGAACTCTTCCTCCTGTGCCAAGCACCCGCACTGAGCCCAGCGCAGGGCTCCTGGCAGAGACAGACCCTGGCAGGTGAAATGCTCCCAAACATCTCCAAAGGCTTTCAAACAGAATGCTGCAGACTGGAAAGCGTTTTATGCAAAGTGAATTCAGTGCAGAGAGGTAAATAGCTGATATAATATAAAGTTGATATAATAAAAAAAATGATAAAATTACTTAAGTTTATCCTACAAACCATGTTTTGCTGCTTACCACTAAACCATCACTATAGTACAACACTTCTGCTATACTATTGTCAGTTTTTTTAAAATCCATTCACTTTACCTTTGCATCTATTTTATAATAATTCAAGTAGTTTACCTGTTATACTTCTGTCAGGTTTATAAAATTACTTTGGTACATTTTTTTACTGAATACCACATACAATTTTGCTGACATAAGCTACATCATCTGATGTGCCACAAAATCCTGTCAACATCACCATCAGGGAGAGATGTTACCTCCTCCTAGTCATCCCAATGCATTTCTTCATGAACTCCTACACAGCTCTCATGAGATTCTATCAAGTCAAGCTTTTGCAATTGGAGAGAATTGCAAATTAGCTGAAATCCTTTCATATACAGCAAAGCCTTTTACTTTTTTTACCTCTAAGGAGTATTAAGAAGGGTCAGGAAATGAAAGACTTACCTAAGGAATTATGTTTTCTCTTGTTTTAAGAAAACTAATACTTCAAGCACAAACTCAGCATTATTAAGCAAAAATCCTCACATAGGCTACTGTGATAAAATGTCAGCAAGATTAACATGAGAAGGGCTTTCAGCAGGAAGTATTATGACAGACAATATCAAGAATAATCAGGAAAATGTGTCTAAAAAGTACCACAAAGATCGCCTTCATCAGATCCATCAGGACAATCTCTTCTCCCATTGCAGAGCTTCTCAGGCTGTAGGCAGATGGAGGTATCATTAGCACAAGGGTATTTTGGTGGTCCACACAAATAGCCCTCGCAATTATCCTCATCAGACTGATCCTCACAATCAATATCGCCATCACACAGCCACGCCTTGCTAATGCATCTCCCTTGGGGAAAAGAGACAACAAACACAGCAAATCAGACTGGAACAAAACTGGAGGGAAAAACCTTCAGCAACATTACACAGGTGTATTTAAAAAAAAAAGAAAAAAATGCTTTTCCATTAATTGTACTTTCCTTTTAGATTAACCAAAAGAAAACCACTTTTACTTATATTCTGAAGCATCACCCACATCAGTGTTGACAGTCTAGTTTTCCAGAGAACATCAATCCTAATTATTCCTATGCTGAACAGACTTGCATACAGGCAGGACACATCCTAATAATTTGTTAAATACATCACATTACACTAAAATGTTTTAATTTTTTTTCTGCTTTTCTTCATCTCTCTTCCTTTATCTTCTCTTCCAATACCCTTCCATAGGAACAGTGTTTAAATATTTGACTTTCTCTTAGCAGAGGTTTGGAAAAACAAAATTCTTTCTAGGAAGTATACACAATACATTCCCAGATTATGTCAGAAAAATGATTAGCTTTCAGATGAAATAGCTACAGAAGATAAAATTTCTTATATGATTTCAGTTTTATCAAATAAGGGTTGAGGTAATTTCTTTCACTCCTCAAAAGGAGGAAAAAAACCCCCACACTTTTGTGCTGACCATCAATGTTTAGAGACACAAGAAAGTCTTTTGATGGAAAAAGAGATTTTGACCAGTATTGGAATAGCATATAGAATTTTCTAGTTTACTTGCTGAGGTGGTTTCTTTATTTAGATTTGTCATGTCAACTGAATCCACAGCTCCAGTCAGAAATGTCATCATTCTGAACCATCACTATGTTCAAAAAGGTTATTAATGTAGTTGTACAACACATGCAGCCCTAAAGATCTAAAAGCAAGAAAAGACTGAGGCAGGGAACAAGTGGAAGCAACACTGGGAAACCCACCATATGACCAATACTGTTTCCACCCACCTTTCAAACTCCTCCACGTGTCCCATTCTTATTAAATATTCTCCTCTTGTATAACTCCTCTCATGCCCTCTCTCTCCACAGTGAGGGGACAGTGACCCTGCCCTCCTGGCCCTCACAGATTCTGTGGGGCAGCCCTATCAATTTCCTTATCTTCTGTCTTGAAAACCCTTTCCAGCCTTCCTCACTACAACTTCTCTCTGTTCTTCTGTACTTGTCAGTTACCTGCCTCTAGCCTGTTACACTCCCCATCCAGACAATACTCCTGCTGTTGCTCTCTGACAGTATCACTGTGATGATCACCCCTCAACTTGATTTCCTACATAAATTCCTTATTTTCCAGTCCAATGAATTCTTACTTCTTCCCCCATCTTTTTCCCCCCTCTAGTACAGTACTAATGTGTGAAAAAAACCAAAAGCAGCACAAAATAATAGCCCACAGGCCAGCAGTAAAAATAGTTAGATACAAAATTAACTGCTTCTTGAAAGAAATATAAAAAGCAGTATGAAAAATACACATGATAGTTCACATTTACTGCTCACTAAATTGAAATATTCATGGCTCTTTTGTATTTGTCTTCACACAAGTACTGGATTATAATCATTAGAGCAATTAGATGACTTGTTAAGTGGGATTGCACTGATTCTGCTCTTGGTCCAGTATTACCAACTGCAAAGCAAGGGAATGGAATAAAAAGCATGGATTTATGCAGTATCTAAAAATGAGTTGAAGTACATGTCTGTAATAATTTGTGGAAGACAGAATCAGAATTTGAAGTAGGAAGTTGGATCTTAGTCTAATCTAATTTAGTCTAGTCTAACTTAAAAGAAATCTAATCTAATTTAAGAGGGAAAATAAGTGGCTAGATGCAGCCCAACAGCAGTCAGTCTCAATCAGGTAGCTATAGCATCTCATCTTATACTGCTGTGCAAACCCTACTATATTTTTCATCATGCATCACCACAAAAAAAATTTGATGTTCTTGAAAAAGTCAGGAATGTCACTCTGAAATCTGTTAAATCAAGTGTGCTGCAGCATTTTGGCCGACTTTGGATACTGCAGCTCAAGAACTGAACAGCTCAGATAGGTCCAGCGAGACCAACAAAAACACTAGAGGTTTAAAAATACAAAATGAAAATAGAAAACATATGAGGGGGGAGAAAAAAGTGATTGTTTATTTAAAAAAAAATAAACAAAACACCTGTGTTTAAAGAGACATAAAACAGTGGTCTTTCTATTTCAAAAGATTTTTATACCAATGAAAAGATGAAGACTAAGCTGCCAGCAAAGATTCAGATGACTTATTAGGAAAAAAATGTTCGACTATTAGAGGCAAATTATTGAAAGGTTATCCATGTAAGTTGTAGAATATTCTCAGCTGGATGTTTTCAGACACATATCAGAAAAGGGGCTGGGCATGATGAGTCCCTGGGATCACCACCACCCTAAGCAGGAAACCCTGTCTGGCTGAGGGCTGACAAATGCTGCAATTGTAACACGGCGCTGACGCCTGTGGCACTGTCACAGATTAACCAGAACCAACAACAACTACAGTCAGGAAAGAGCCTACAGCCACTATTTACAGCTATAAACCAAAAAAAGAAGTAAGGGAAAAAATGGGCAGCAACATCTCACTAGTACTGTTCTCACTGTCCTTTCCCTCAGAATGTATTGGCTGTTTCACCTCCCCCCATACACATGTTCCTGCCCAGAGCCATCATATTCTGTATTAGGCAACCAGATGCCACCACTCAGCAATCTCTAAGGGGAGAATTAGCCAATTTCTCTTCATATGAAGAATTCTCATAAATGTGGAAGCCAGACAGTATTATTTCTTTAGAATAATCCACAGAGAAAATGACATTTATTCTGAAACCTGAAAGGATCATGACAGAAACTATTTCTCATTGACCCATTATTATGCATTTGTCCCACCATATGGCATTAAACTGAAAAGCAGCTGAAGAAAAAAATTGTTTTTGCTGTTTTCTGTTCCAGTGCATGACCAACATGCCTCCTCCAGTACAGCAGTTTTGCTCCTTTCAGGACTGATGGAAGGAAAACAGTGTAAGAAAAAAAAAAAAAAGGATGGAACTGTCACGACTGATTCCTAAACTGATGCTTCCACACAACCAACAAGCATGATTGCATTTTCCTCTAAATCAAAGCCATATACCCTTGAATTTAGCAAATGTTTGATGAAAATAATTTTTTTTGTTGTATTTATATGTGGCAGGCAGAGCAGTCACATTTCATCCTTCACCCTGCAAGCTGACTGATATCGCCCTCCTTGTGCACGACTGCAAACACAGGTAAGCCTATAAGGCAGCACAGTTTGAGACCTTCTCCCCACTTAAGCACTAAGAAAAAGATACTTGGGGAAAGTGTATTTCCTCTGTCAGGGTTTCTATCAGCCTACTTCAGGAAACAGACCATTCTATGAAAAGTGAATAATCCCTTTTTACTTATTGAAGATATTTCTTTTAACAGCCACTTGCTCTCTACATCTTCCTGGAAATCACAAGAACACAAAAGGAAACTAATTCCATATTTATTTATCCAGATGTTTTGATTTCTGTAACTTTAAAGTCCAAGGAGCAGCAAGCAGCCAAGCGTTTCTAAAGCATATTAAAGCATTTCATGTATTAAAAATTACCTCTGTTCACACTGTAGATTTGGATAAAGTATCTTACTGTATCCATACATGTTCTCAAATACTTTTGGGCAGAGATTACATAACTAGACTGCAACATTTACCTTACTTAACACAGGCATTAGAATGGGTTCTCCTTTCCTGTTCTTAATTAGAGTTGCCTAATGGTAACAATATTGCTGCTTATTATATCCCGAATAAAATTTAGCTTTGGAAGTTATTTTACCCCTAATATTTTATTAAGCTTTGAATGAAATTGTAAGAAGATTAATACAATGCCAACATGCATTAATTTCTTCCTTAATTGGACTGTCCTGTAAGAAAATGTTCCATCTAAGCATTATTTCACAACATATCCCCATGTAAAGACTGTCATATTATTTTCACATTTTTTAATGTAGTATACTTAGTAAAATTTGATTTTAAACATTCTCAAAGAATGTCTTTATCTTCTAATATTGTGGTGCAAATTTCCAGTGCTAGCTCTGATTCTTTGAAGTCTCCTTGCTAATTACTTTATATCATTTCAATCAATTTACTTCTAGGGCCAAAGATGGAAAACAGAAGAAAATACCTGTTCTGTGAAGTACTATTAAATGCCACCTTTAAGTATTTGGTTTGATGTACTATCATACACAACAGTTTCATCTTTAAATAATCTCAAAGCCCATCCATTTTCTATTTTATATCAGAAAACAGGGGAAATATATAATTTACTTGGTATGAGTAGAGTAACATCACCTCAGTAGTATTAAACCTTAAAAGCAGTGTTCAAATAGTAGGTATGTGATCAAATCACACAAATAGACAGATGCACACACAATGAGGAAGTGAGAGCAAAACATAACTGCAAGTATATACCTGTACTCTTGCAGGAGAACTTTGTTTTTTCATCACAGAGTCGTATGGTTCCATTACAGCCTTTTTCATCACTGCCATCTTCACAGTCCTTTTCCCCATCACAGCGCCACAGCTCGGGAACACAGTTCCCATCAGGACTGCACTGAAACTCCCTCCCATTGCATCTTCCAGGAGAAGGGGTTTCTTAGAAAAATAAGAATTATATTGAAGAATTTGCTTATGTGAGGTTTTTTCCATGCCAATGCTACAATGACTTAGAATACCCCTAAATCAGAGTCGTCGAGTAAAGCTTCATTATTCCTTCCCAATTCATCATTCCAACACAAGCTACAGACAGGCTCTTATCCTGTTCACTCCCTTCACTCCTCCCTCTACCACAGGCTCCAGGTAAAGATCCTTATTTTCTATCATCTATCAGACAGACATGAATCTGGAGATGTAAGGAGGACCAAGGCTGGTGAAGTTTTCCTGGTGCTTCATAAGCCCTGTCTGTCACATTCAAGCTACATCCCCTCCTTCTCCTCAGTTCTCCTCTGCTTTTCCAACAAGGTCCAACTCCTACTTCACAAAACATGAAAGGCCACATGGACACAAGGTCCTGACACCTGCCTGGCTTGTGCTATTCTGGACTAGTTGTAGCCTTTCCAAATCTCACAGAAATGAACTTCAGTTCAGTGCAGCTATGGAATTGGTTTCAAAGCACAATAAATACGTGATCTTAATTATTCATCACATACTCAGTTCTCTAAATGATCTATATGATGGTCTTTTGAACTTTACTCTTGTCCTCCTTCTCCTAAACTATTACCACAGTGAGTATTCCATGTATTTCATATCATACTAATGAGAATAACATGTACTTTAGAGTAATAATCAACTTACACTTTCCTGTTTGCACCAAAAAAACCCATTATTTGATAAATTCTTAAAGCACTGCCTATAAACGAATGGTTTATTTTATTAGAAGCTGCCTTGTTTGTTGTTTTTTTTTTCTCTTTTTTTTTTTCTAACTAATAAGCATTCTTGCACTCTACCATAAATAAAGGAAAGAGAAGTTGCTGGCAAGTGTGCCTCACATAGCAGGATACAGAAGATGTATGAGACAATGGTGCAAATCCCACCATAACAGGACAGTGCATAGAAAGGTAGAGCGAGACTTTAAGCTCTGACATGGGCATAAACAGGAGGGAAAGTGAGCAGTTTACTTCCAGACCTATTATTTTGATACAGATAAATAATATTTTTTGTAAACATACAAGAATTAAGGACTTGACACTACTAATGCAGAGCATTCTGCTCATTCATCTCTTTGCATGAGGTCTGCAACTGGATTGAGAATGAAAAAGGACCAATAAAATCATGTACAATTACTTTGTTGTGAAAAAATCGCTATGAGAAAAAACACAAGAGAAAAATATTCCCTCATTCTTATCTGATTATTTTTTTATCCTTTTCTACAAGCATCCTTCCCTTCTCTCCTCACTCAAATAAATACAAAGTATGGCACTTAAATGGGACTGTAGTTTGTTGAAACATTTTTATACTTCAGTAACACTACTGAAAAGGAAAAAAAAAACCAACCCAAAAGCACCAAACAAAAAAACCTGGATCACACAAAGAAGACTGTTACTGCATAAAACCCCCAGAAAATATAAACAGTAATTTAAGGAATACTGCTTACTGTCTCTTTATCTAGGCAGCATGCAGCTCTGAAGTAGGACAAACATCACATTTAGCATAATTCAGTAAGGCAAAACTAGAAAACATATCTCATTATAATACCTGATCTGTTTTCGAATGCAGTCTTCCATGATACACTTCAGTCTTACATTACATTTGACATAATTTCCAGTCCATCTTTTACCAACGTTAAAAGCAATTTCTCTTTTCTATTGACTAAGGATGGGTCCTCAGTATTTATAATAAAATATTCTCTGTGTTTATAAGTATTAAAATGTAGGAAGTAAAAAAAAAAACAAGCTAACCTTCCTTGCTGCAATTTGTTCTGGTTTCATCACTGAAATCTCCACAGTCATTGTCACCATCACACGCCCAGTGGCTCGGGATACATCTGCCATTGTAGCACCTGAACTGCTCAGCAGAACACGAGTGAATGCAGCCAAGTTCATCACTTCCATCCCCACAGTCATCATCTGCAAATATAGATTTTAAAATTATTTTAAAAGACAAAAGGACAAATAGAAGATGTGAGGAGAAAAAGGTAGTTCCAAAAAGGCAGCAGAAAAATAGTGTGCTGTAAATAAAATAGTATGTTTAGTGCCCACAGGGATATGGTAAAATTATTTCTAATGCAAGCAATTCCTTAGATGTAATTTACCAACAGCATTTGACTCTCATTTGGGATAGTCTAACCCCTCACACTTATCACAGTTACTCAATCACAGACACCAGCAAGCATGAGAAGGCTGCAGGTTTTCTTAATGTCCTTAGTTGTGTGTACACAGGCTTCCCAACACAGTGGTTTTACTTTATCCTCAGTGATTTGTTAAGTTAACCCAGACAGTTAAGCACACAGACAATGGGCTTCACAGAAAGCAAAATATAAAACCTGGCATCAGAATTTCTTTTCAATGGAATTAGAAAGGTTGTTGCTCTATACTTGCAACAGTTCCAGGTAGAGAGAGATAGCAGCACATCAGCAGGGGTGGAATGTAGTTTCTTATTATTCCCATGTTGCAGTCAACACAACAGTCTTAGAGCAGCTCCCATTATTTGATCGTGATCAGAGGAGGGAAAAGATACATGTTATGAAAACACTGAAGGGCCTCCTCACACAAAATTTCAGTAAGCACACTGAGATATTTGGGGAACCTCTCCATTTACAGCTATGAATTCCTGTCAGCCTCATGAAATTGCAGTAATAGCAAATGCTATGGTGGATGAAGAACCAACCCAATCTTATTAGGGTAAGACATCACTGCTACACCATAAGCTCTGAGAGAAGACCCATTTAACAGCTATCATCCAAATATATGCACTTCCAGACAAAGCAAACAACTACACTGTAAAGCCTTCCCTCTTGAGGGATGCTGGCTATTAAATTGAACTTGCCCACAAACCCAAAAGAAAGCCAGATATTGTGGTCCCTGGAACTACTTTCTTTTCTCAAGATACTTTAATAAGTGATAGCTTAGCTTCTTTTTTTTTTTTTTAATAATGAAAGTTTACATCACACTTCACTCTACAAAATACACTATTTTTAACTATTACCATATCTACTGCATCTTATCCACCTTATATGAAGCTTCAATATTGCTGCTTTCTAGGTCAGGATAGTAATTTCAAAATACTACATTTATTCTCTGACCACTTACCAGCCAAACTGGCAATATCAGCCTCAGAAGAAAAGAGTATCAAAGTAATATTTATGTATTATCTACCATATTCATTTCAGATACAGAACATTTGATACTTGCCTGAATCACAGAGCCATTTGCTGCTAATGCATTTTCCATTTCTGCATATAAATTGAGTTAGTGGCTCACACGTTGGGAATTCTGTGAAAGTGTGCAAAAAGAAATAAACACTATTTAATATATATCCTCTTTAGTAATATTCTTCCATCTTCCTCTAAGCATAAATTACACAAGTGTAATGTACCAAACATCTGCACCTGCCAGATACTTCATCTGGAGAGGAGAAAAAGGTGAGACACAAAAAAGAGAGAGGATAAAAAGGCGCTGGACTGTAAACACTAGTCCAAACCCCATCCTTCCTCAACATGGACCACTGAAATAAATTATTCTGTGCCATATAACACAGTCCTAAATCCCTATCAGACATGGGCTGACTTTGTCACCAAGCATGCTAATATTTACAGTTGTAGCATGACAACTGATACAAACTATACTTTCAACGCCTTTATTTACATTAAAAAGTTCTCCAATTGCAAGAGCACTACCAGTAAAAGACAGGAAAGAGAAGACTGTAAAAAGAGAAGGTTAACTACCAAGCAAAACAACAGCCAAAAAAATAAAGTTACTGCACATTGACGTAATAAAATCCAAAATGAAAATGTCAGTATTTGCAATCATTTCCTCCAAGTATTTAAGGCAGTAGAAAACAGACCTAGAGACTCATCTATATTACAGAACAATTTTATTTTTATTTTATTTTATTCATTTTCTAGCAGAGTTCTCCATAGAACAATTTGAATTTTTTCAGACTTCTTTTTCCTCTTAAACCAATGACAGAGTAGGTATGTGCATCCATACCATTAACATGTTAAACAGTGCTTGTGCCTGTTTACTTTGGAAAATACAAGATCTACTTTACAAAACCTGTCAATTCACAGGAATAAGGAGAAGCTTAAATTCTTTATAGAGACCAACAAGAGAATAAGGCATCTCTCATTAACTGATACCCAATGCACACCAAAGATTACAACATAAAAAATCTGCCTGAACTGCTACTTAAAGGCAAGCCTGTTCTTCCCTGAAGGATTTCAGGTGGAAAGTTCCTACACAGTACATCCTAAATGCACCAGAAAGAAACATCCAAAACAGTTCATAGCCCTGTCAGCCACACCAGAACTGCCTAACACTAGAGCAGCCCCCCAAGTGTATTCCTCTTCAGGTTGCTCTAGCTACCCTGGGTCATTCTGATGTTACAGCCGAGATGACAAAGCTAAAACTCACAAAGATTTTGAGAGTCCTGCCATGTAATTATTACTGATGAGTTTTTATAAACTTTTAAAATAAACCAAATAAACAAAATTTACTTGGGACAGGAATTCAAATAGTCTTGAGATAAGTGGATTTCTGATTTTGGGTTTGGTGTCTCTTGCAGTGTCTGGTGCACAAAATGTTTTAAAGTTAATTCAAAAGCTTTAATTTTCTTTCTTTTTTTTTCCTTACAGAAGCTCAGGGAAAGTTTTGGCTTTAAAAAAAGTAACACATGAAGCACCAAATCAAACCTGTTGTGTCAGGTAGTAAAATTTAGAGATCACCACAAATATCATTAGTCTGAAGTGATTATTCTGCTTCCACACAGAAAATAGTGGGAAGAAATGTTAACACTGATGACAACACTTGTCAGTTACTCCTAGAAAGTTTCATGGTCTTTGTGAAATAAAAAACGCTGGGTTTCTTGGGGGAACATGTTACTGTGACAAAAATTTGTTCTGAGACAAATAATGGAGATGTGCAATTAAGACGGCCCTCAGCTATAATATTTGCCTTATGTGCTTCAAGCAAAGCTGAAAGCAATACTGAATTTTGCTTTTTAGTGGTTCAGTAATTTTTCCACAAATTTCACTCATATATTAAAGGTAATTTTCCCCGTTTCCATAAATGAATGTATTCATGATTTTATTTTCTTTATGTTCACCTGTCTACTCGAGACCTGTATAAAGAGAAAGGAGCTAATTAAATGAATTGTGACTGTCCTCACCACCACAACCCACATCTCATGATTCTCAGCACACCACAGTCTTTACAGTGATATTTTGCAGTATTTCCAGCGTTGGCTTCTCATAGTCCCAGCCTCCACCACCACACCACAGCTCCCTCTCACATCCCTCACTGCCCCTGTGGTCTCCCCTTTCCCTCCCTGTTTCACAGCAGAGACGTGCACACCCTGTAGCTGATTCACAGCTCCCCCTGTGCTGAGTGTTCTTCAGCAATGCCACACTTAGTTAGTCTGGATGGATCTCAAGAAAAAGTGTGTCCATTATGAGACTGGCATCATCTTTCCACCCCTGCACACCTCAGATATATGCCAGTTATCAGCATGCTTAAATTCTTGAATCAATAAGTAGCCAAATATTATTCACAGCTGAAGATTGGTGCAGTTAAAAATCAACGATTTGTAATGGTAACAAAAAAACAAACCACAAGTTTAGTTTTAATATAAGAAAGCTTGTGAATACAAGACTAATTTTAAGCTTTTTCAGAAATGAAAATATATACCACTAAACAGAATACCTTAATAAATGCCATTAGCATGCCCATTAGCCATCAAATTATAAGGCAGTACAAAAAAAGAAATATTTGACACATTTGCATGATCAAAGTGCTTGAGGATAAAGAAACAGGTTTCTAAAACATGAAACATATGCAAAGCTTTTCCAAACTGAAAAACAGCAGATGAAATAAATACTGAGTAAATGATCTATTCCAGATCAGCTGCCAGGATACCAACCAAAATACATGGGAAGAAATTACAAAGATGACACTAACATCTGTGTATTGATAAGGTGTCTGAGAACACAGGGCATAGTTAGTCAGATAAAATATTATAGTACCAATGCTGCACCACTGCACAGAATCTCATTTTAGAGACTGCAAAACACAATGAGCCCACGGCTGTCACCTATTCTACTTCTGTACACAACAGAACTGACTTGATTTGAAGCATGGTCATTGAAGGTTACCTTAATATTCTCAGTTTTTCTCAAGAATTTTATTTTTATGGCAATTTTATCACATATACAATTATTCTGAAGTAACAGATACCAATTACTGTTGATATAAAATTAACTTTCTGGTTTTTTTTCCTGGTTTACATCATCATTAAAAGAATTAAAAAGGAAGAATGTAATAAATAAGAGAAAACAGGTGAATATTCCAGGAAGCATAACAACTATTTACATGCAAAATCTTGAAAAAGCTTGAATGCAGTTATAGGAGGAGATGCTGAGATTACATAAAGACTTAAAAAGTAAAAATGTAAACTCAATTAATAAGTAATAGTTGGTGGTCAGTCATGAATAATTCAAGATCAAACAAATTCAAGGGGACCTGGGCAAGTCCTAAGCACCCTCAGCAAGTCTGTGGATGACACCGAGCTGTGTGTTGCAGTTGGCACACTGAAGGGAAGGGGCCATCCAGAGGCACCATGGCAGACAGGCCAGTGTCAACCTCATGAAGTTCAAAGTGCAAGGGCCTACACCTGGGTCAGGGCAATCCCAGGCACAGACACATCCAGGGCTTGAGAGTGGTTTGAGAGCAGTCCTGAGGAGAAAGACTTGAGGGTCCTCGTTGATGAAAAGCTCGACATGAGCCAGTCACGTGCAAGTCCAGCCCAGAAGCCAACTGCAACATGGACTGTATCAAAAGAAGCACTGGCCAGCAGGTTGAGGGAGGTGATTCTCCCTCTCTGCTCTGCTCTCAAGAGACCACACCTGGAGTGCTGCACCCAACTCTGGAGCCCCCAGCACATGGACAACACAGACCTGTTGAGTCAGGTCCAGAGGAGGGCCATGAACATGATCAGAGGGTTTGAACACCTCCCCTGTGAGGACAGGCTGAGAGAGCTGGGGTTGTTCATCCTGGAGAAGAGAAGGCTCTGGGGAGACCTTCTTGTGGTCTTGGAAGTATCGGAAGGGAGCCTACAAGAGAAGCTGGGGAGGAACTTTTTACAAGGGGCTTGTAGATACAGGATGAGGGGTAATGGGTTCAAACTGAAAGAAGGGAGATTTAGATTAGATGCGAGGAAGAAGTTCTTCACTATGAGGGTGGGGAGACACTGGCACAGGTTGCCAAGAGAAGTTGTGGATGCTCCACCACTGGATGTGTTCAAGAGCTAGGTGGATGGTGCTTTGAGCAACCTGGTCTAGGGGGAGGTGTCCCTGCCCATGGCAGGGGTTTTGGGCCTAGATGATCTTTAAGTTCCCTTCTAACCCAAACCATTCTATGATAAGCAAAAACAAGATTATGTTTTATCAACTACCTTGATTTCATAATTTGATGTTGATTAATAAACAGTATATTTTTGTAACAGTGAATCAAGTTGGAATATCAGCTACATCTGAGAAAAATACAGGTCTAACTACTAAGTATCCTAACAAGTACACTTTAGATGTTATTTCTTTGTGCACAACCCACCACTTCAAGTTTACGTGGTTGATGCTAGTAAAATAGTCAGCATTTCTTGAAAACTCTTGAGAAATAATTTCAGAAACGTCCTATTATATTATGACACAGTAATTAATATTAGTAAGTCAAATAATTTCACAAATATTACCTTGTAAAGAGGGCAGACCCTGACAAAATATTTTGGAGACAGCTCATTGACCCTTTTGCTCTCAGACTCACAGCAGTTACCTGTGACCTGCCAGACAGACGAAGTCATGCTGACTTCTAAAAACCTTGTTTGGAAGCAGCTGATTAGAGAGAGTGCAACTCTCTTTGCAGTGACTCAGTAAGGCAGCAACCAGCAGAGGGGCTGACACTCTCTCATAATAGAACCAAGAAAGACTAATTTTTTTTTCTGCAAGATATAATATCAAAATAACTTATGTTTAGATTTGAAACAGTCTGATTTTAATGACATCTAGAATATGCTGAGAGTGCCCATGTGAAGAGGTATACAGCCCAGATAAAGACCAGTTTTTGAAAGCAACAGTATTTGATAACGGGGTGTAAATTAGAAAAGTGTTAAGTTGATTCACCTGCATATTTGGTATTGCAGCTAAAAACCCATTAATAGAAAAATGCAGCCTTTGCTTTGGGTTTATTTATTAATTAAACAAATTATGTTCAGTATTTCAGAAAGAATATAATCAGTTCATATAAAACCAAAATGGCCCCTCATATTTTTCTGTTCATCAGTGCATGTGAGAAGAGATCGTTACATACATGTTTGACTTTTTATGGAATAATTTTAGTTTTCTCCCCCAAATAGTTCTGACTTACCACAGGATGTCATTTCATCGGTCTCATCCCCACAGTCATCCTCCCTGTCACACAGCCAGGACGTTGGAATGCAGCGGCCATTCCCACAAGAAAACTGGTCAACCTGACACGTTCTTGCTGTCAAGAGAAAACACTCCAAAAATGCAAGGGAAATGGACTGGATCTGTTAGGTCTCTTTGTGCAGGTCTGCATGTAGAAGCTGAAAGCCTGGGGGGCATCTCCTGAACTCTGCACATTTCACCTGATCTGACTAAGCACCATCCATCTCCTTTGATTTCTGAGGTCACCTTCAGCACATGAGAACATGAAGTTTTAAAGGTAATTATACATTATGTAATTATACGTGGCAGAAGAGTGTTTGATAAAAGAACATTAATGCTAGAGTCGAAGTAAACAAAAATCAGGGCATAAAAATGTCTAACTTAAAATTGGAATATTAACAAATTGAAATTCATATTTGCACAGAAAAATATTAATATAGCACATATGTGATGTGCCTGGCCTCACTGTGCTTGAAATCTTTGGCTCTGCAAACATGCAACTGTAATTGTCTGCTAAAGGATGGACAATGCACATCCTTCTCCTGAAGAAATACAGAGCACTGAAAGAAACCATGGTATTCAACTACATAAATTACTTTGAAAGCTGATGAACAGTAAGATGCAAATAAAAATCTAACATACAAAACTGAAATTACTTATAATTTTGTTATACATGATGGTGTCTTCAAATCAGACTTTTATCCTGCAAGCAAAGGGGTTGAATATCAAAGGATATTGAGCTGTGTTACAGTCTGCAGCAATATGGTAGAGGTGGTAGGGGTGCTGTAGTTCTGCATTTGTGCTAGAGTGCTTTTATTCACATCACACAAGTAACAACCAGAACCAGTTATTATACACAGGAAAATTTTAATGGAGGTAAATTACTTCAGGGAATATTTTAATAGACAATGTATGCTCTCTATCACTGCATTTCACTTCCAAATAGTCATCAGCGTATTGATGCCTGATATTTTGTATATCAGATATTCAATGATTGTTTAGTGTACTCTGCCACAAGCACTAAACATCACTTCTACACAAGCAATGGATAGATTTGAAACTCCATGATTTACTGCAGTGGAATCAGTTAATCTTCACCTTGGTACTTCCTTAGAAATCCACTGTATAGTTAACTTCCAAATGAAAACAATTTCAAGGTACCAAGAGGAAATCAAATAACTAATTATGCTTTTGTCAGCATAGAATAGAATTTACTAGTGACATGGCTCTCCTCACAGCAAGTTACAAACAAAATTCTAACTGCCAAAAACATTTAGCAGGGACAGGTTGGTACTTAAGCAGTCCTTTGGCAGTCAACCCATATAGATAAAGTGCTAAATTACTTCAGAAATCACAGCCAATCATAAGGATCAAGTAAAATATCATTTCTAGTCCAGCCTTAGTGATATCAAACTCTGAATTAATTTAAAATGTCAATAACCAGATTACTAGTAGCAGACTGGTTCAGTCCCATTCAGAGGAGTCTTGAACTGCTTATGGAACTAGAATTAGAGAACTTGTAACAACCAAGTAAAATTTTTACCTGCACAGGTTTTATTTGCTTCATCTTCATTATTGCCACAGTCATTGGCTCCATCACACAGCCATCTCTTGGGAATGCAGCGATTGTTTTGGCACTTAAACTGATCATCAGGACAACTATGGTTTACTGGGGGGAGAAAGAAAGAAAAGTTGTTCTTTTTTTTCCCTAAGAAAATAATCAGAGAAAAATAACTGAAAATAATACATTAAAATGGTATTCCCTGGTGATGCAGTTATCCTGTATATATAGTCCCCATGGTATAAAAATTGTTCAGCAAACCAGTCAATTATAAAGTATTGCATTACTTCAACCATAAATTGAACAATACATAGTAAAGACTCTCCTATCATACCAGTGTCAATATGGAGATCCTCTTCCATTAACTTCTAAGTGATAAAAGGTATCAGCATTTTACAATGTTGCTATTTCCTTAAACAAGTGTCCTCAAGCACATTTTATCCATGTGCTGAGGTTTGCAAAGTGAAGCACATACAAACAAAACACCAAAGGGAACATCTCCAAGCTGCTAAGTGCATATCCAAAGTGCTACACTGCAGTGAGCAGGGATTTGGGCAGGTTATAAAACACCTCTAAAATGATGCACATTACTGTCAACGGCCACATACAAATCTTTTGTTTATTTACCATGAAATTGTAGATGTCAAAAAGTAAAATATGCAACACGGTGCAAAACTGACATGAAAAATAAATAAATCAAGAGTGAACAAAGTATCTCACAAACATGGTTTTGGCAGTATCATGGAAAGGAGGAAGACTGAATGCACAGAAGTTAGGGAAATACTATTGGCCTGCTGTATAACATATAATGTATATTGCATATTGGCCTGAAGTAAATGATACATTCTGCTTTTTTTATTCTAACAGTGACAGCTGTTATTAGCAGTTCTTGCTAATCTTTATCTATATGAGGACAGTAAATTACTTTCAGCCCAACATTTGAAACTGTATAATCTCAAGCTATTTTCTACCTACTCAGCCATCCACAGGCTCTGTTTTAAAGTTTAACATACATCTGGAAACGAGCAGTATTTAAAATGAAAGGATGTCTTGCAGGCTTATCCTTGACATTTCAGTAGCTTTTATCTTTGACCTTTCCACCTATTCCTCCTATTGAAAATAACACAGAGCAAGTGTGATATCAGTAGCACATGAACTCCTCATGAATGTTTTGTGTGGAGTGTGCAGAACACTGGAACTAAAGATTAATTAATAATCTGAGCAGAAAGGTATTCCAACTCTCTTGGTACTCATGGAGGAACCTAGTTTGCAATGTGACTGGAGAACAAAGTTGTTATCATCCATCTAATAAAACTAAAAATTGAAGACGTTTTAAAAAATCTGACTTGGATACTAGACATAGATACTGTTTAAAATAGTAAAGCTTTTGTTCATATATTTAATAACACATGTGTGTATTCTATCCATAAATGAAATGACTTCAGACTAACTAAAAAAGACCTATTGGAATTACTACAGCAACTGCTGAAAAGAGATTAATGTTATCATCATGGACACCTAAATACACAACATACAGATTTGGGACCAAATTTTGATTTCATTTGCATTTGTATAAATCCCCTGAGAATTAGAAGCTTTCATCAATGAATTTGTCTACAGTGCACTAATTTAAATGAGAATAAAGCCAGCTCTGCCAAAAGACTTTCCTTCTCACAGCTTTTATTAATTAAGCTCCTTATTTAAGTGTAAGAATCCCTGGTATTAACATAAATGTTAGTAAGCACTACAATTCAGAACTGGACAAATAGATTTTTTTTGAATAGATTTAGGAGTGAAATCAGTAATGACTGCTATGTGGAGCTATCAAAATACATAAATGCAGGGAAAAAAAACCAAACTGGCTATGTAACAGCCATACAGAAAAAGACCAAGGCATTACAGAGGATCACAAGCTCAGAATGTAGCAGCAACATCAGGCCAGTGTGAAGCAGGCAAGATTTACTCAGGGATGTATGAACAGGACCATGAGCCCTCACAAACCCATTCCTTCAGCCTAGCCAGCCTCACAAAAGCCTCAGAAGTACCCCCACCCACTTTCGGACATCCAACTCCTAGGGTCACTCGTTAAAGTTCAGAAAAGAGCAATGGAATCTAAAAAAAACACAAGCCCCATAGTCTACTGGGAAAACAAAACAAAACAAAACAAAACCAAACCATATCAGAGTTGTTTTGTCTCAATGAGATAAGAATGAGAGACTATGATAAGAGTTTTCAGAAACATAGAACAAAGCTGCACAGCAGAAGAGTGTATCAGTTCTTCATATCTACAGCTGATAGGGGAAAAAAAAGAAGCATTTTCATTTCAGCAAGGAAGATTTAGTTTAGAGAAATGATCTAATGATAGAAATAGGAAGGATTGAAACAAACCAAGTAAGAAAAGGAGTTTTCACTGCTGCAAATAATTTTATAGAAGGCTACCTAAGTGTTTTCCAGGAATGACACAGATACAGAACTGGTATGTTTTCTATTATTTTCATTCCAACAGTGGGACTCCTCCAACAACGAGAAAAAAAGAAAAAAAAAAGGAAAAAAGCTGTAGTAAAACTGTATCTTTAAAGACAAGGTACATCTAATTTAAAATTAGAAGAGAGGGGTTGTGTTGTGGTGGTAGTTTGGCTTTGGTTTGGTTTGAGTTTTTGGGCAGAGTTTTTGTGCTGCTGGTTTGGGGGTTTTAAAGGATCACATTCCATAATCACAGAAATGTTTATGGCTGGAAGGGACCTGCTGAGATCATCTAGTCCAATCCTCTGCTCAAGCAGGACCAACTAGGGCATGTTTCCCAGGACCAAATCCATATGTGTTTCAAGTATCTCCATAGATAGAAACTTCACAACCTCTCTGAGCAATCTATTCCAGTGTTACACTATGTACAAGTGTTCCTTTGTGTTCAGAACATATTTCAAGCTTTTCAGTTTGTCCCCATTACTTCTCACCCTGCTAGGGGGTACTAAGAAGAGCCTGGCTGCCCATTTTTCATTCCCTCCCATCAGCTATTTATACACATTGGTAAGATCCCTGTGGAGCCTTCCCTTACCCCCAGCAATTCCAGCTCTCCCAGCTTCTGGGACAGATGTGCCAGACCCTTACTCATCTCAGTGGTCCTTTCCTGGACTTGCTCCAGTAAATCCCTCTCTTTCTTATATCAGGGGGTGCAGAACTAGACAAAGTCCTCCAGATATGACCTGTTCAGAGCTGAGCAGAGGGGAAAGATTACCTTCCTGAACCTGATGGTGATGCTTTTCCTGAAGCAGCCCAGTATGCTCCTGGCCTTCTTTGCCAGGAAGTGCGCTGATGTCTAATGGTCAGCTTGTTAACCACCAGAACCCCAAGGTCCTTTTCTGCAAATCTGCTCTCTAGCTGGATGGGCCCCAGCATATCCTGATGCCTGGAGTTACTCCTCACCAGATGCATTTCTCCTTATCCCTCTCTGTCCAACTCTCCAGCCTGTCAAGGTTCCTGTGAATGGCAGCACACTCCTCTGGTACATGAGCCACTCTTCCCAGCTTTGTATCACCTGTAAACTTCTGTAGTGTGCACTCAAATCATTAGTGAAGAGGTTACTGGGGCACAACACCAGTGACTTAGGTCCAGCTGGACACTGTGACACTGATCACATGCCCCAAAGCCTGGCGATCGAGACAACTTCCAAACCACCTCACTGCCCACATACTTCAGTTATTCTCATCCATCAAGCTAGTGACATCCATGTAGAAGGTTAGGAGGTTGGCTGAGCAAGACCTCCCCTTCAAAACACCATGCTGACTACTCCAGATTGCTTTCTTGCCCTTCATGTCTTTAGATACGGTTTCCAGAACAGTTGCTCCGTCACCTTCCTAGAGGTTGAGGCGAGACTGGCTCTGCCTTGTGAAGGTTGGACTAGAGATATTCTGAGGTCCCTTCCAACCTGAATTATCCTGTGATCCATATAAAAAAGTTCAATAGTGGGAAACAACACAAAAAATACCTACCTTTAAAGAATGAGAAAAGAATTTCCAAACCAAAAGGTGACTGCTCTTGTACTAGGCTATGAAATGAGTAGAGGAGTGTCAGCCGAAAAAACTACTATGATCATGTGGAGGAAAAGAAGAAAAAGAAACTTTTACATGAATGACTTAAGGCTTATCACAAACGTTTGACTCCTTCCAGACTCAACATTATTTTGTTTCAAATTTAAAAAAAAAAAAAATAATCTTTAAAATACTTTTAAAAAAGGATGAATTGTGGGTTACAATGTGAAAGGCTACCTACAGCAAATGTCAGACTGCTCGTCACTGCCATCCAGGCAGTCGTCGTCCCCGTCGCAGCGCCAGCGGTCCTGGATGCAGCGCCTGTTGGCACACTGGAACTGCTCAGCTGTGCACAGCTGGGGTAGCTCCTCCCCGTGCTTAACTAGGAGAAACAGCCAAGAAGGACATTTATCTTATCAGAATGCAATACCACCTCCACGTAAACAGGCATCCTTCAGAACATTTTCTTATGAAACTTTGAAAAATTGAGGTAACTCCACCTGCAGCCTGCAGCAGCAGGCACCTCTGAGCGTATGGTGCAGGCAGTGAGTGTCTCTTTAATCAATGGAAGAGCACAGAACAGAGCAGCACTCAAACTGTTTTATAATTGGTGCTTAGATGATAGTGTAAAAATATCCATTTGAAATTTTGCAATGTGTCATCAGCAGTGGAAAAAACGAACTTTCTTACAGAGACAGACCAAATTCTGCTGTACATTAAAGGGCTAGAAAATGATTACTGAAAAGCTGCTTCTTGTATCCAAGCAACAACTCAAACACCTGCATTATGCACTGGTACAGCCTCGGCAGAGAAGGACAGGTAAAATTCTGCTGAGGTAGAATTAAGTAGCAAGCTACAAGGTTCTTGATAAATCCAGACAGATAGAATTCTCAGCATAAGGTTCAGAATGCTTAATAAGGTGTAAATACCACACAGCACTCTATGACCCTATGAGGGACATCAAAGTCCTTGGGAAGAGCTGGGCAATGAAGTGTGCTGGGGAACAGGCAGGGAACCTGCTTCACTCAGGTCTGAAAGTGTCTAACCTCTCTTCCTAATGCTTACATCCCATCTTACCAGGGAGAAGTCCACCTTCCAGTATTTTCCGCTAATAAGAAAAATAGTTTTCTTTAGCAACAGTGATGGCTCTTCCAGCCATGCATTTGGGTCAAATTCAAGGTAATTGCAAGCTCAATGATGTTCATCATGTAATAAAATAATCCTTGTGCTTTACTCGTCTCTACTAGGCTTATTGCTGGAGAACTAAAGTTTTACACACTACCTTTTTAAGAGATTAAAGGAAAAAAAAAGATAATTTTAAGTTACAAATATCAGGTCTAAGCATTTAAAAAATACCTGCATTGTCTGATGAGTTATTTTTATTTGAAAAAAAATGAAAATCCCACATTTTATTATTAAAGTGACTTTTTAAATCAGTGTTTCAATGAAGATATGCAAAAAAAAAAAAAAGTGAAATTTATATCATCTGTGTCAGGACCTATTATATGTAAATATATCTGCTAGACATGTTTTATGAAAAGTTATAGCATGAACATTTTCTATGCTGGTTTTCAATTTAAGATACATAGTCCATATAATTATCTGAAACCAGTTCATACAGATTTAATATAATAGTTATACAGATTAATTTCTGGTGTTTCTGATATATTTAAAAGAGGTCAGGGAAACATTTAAGTGCTTTATCATATCAGACATTCTGAAATATTTTTCAATGCATTTTATCTTCAAGTAGTGTGTACTTGGTATTTTGTCTTCTTTGCAAAATCTTCATTCTATTTAATAAACTGTCTTCAGTCTAAATCTTTATTCGAGGAATATTTCTTTGTCTTATAGAACCACAAAAGGCCTCTAAGAGAACACACTTTCTTGTTTTATTTTCAGATTTGACTTGATCCCTTAACCGTGGCATCAACTCAGATATTCTTTAAAAATCTTACTCCTGCAGGTTGTACTATTTTCCTCCAAAAGCTGATTATCTGCACAGGCACAAACTCTGCCTCCTGGAATGGCTAAACAAAGAGTGCTGCAGCCTCCGTTGTTAACACGACATGCATTGTCACCTGTGAAAACAGAAAAAAGCAACTTTAAAACTAAGAGACATGCCAGAACTGGAAGATTTTGGCCTAGTACATAAGCACGTGAACAGTCGTCTTACAGTTATTTTACCTCTCATTTTAGGGACACATTCGCATAGTTTGGTTACTACAAGTTACAATATTTAAATAGTTTTAGTTACAGGTTGCAATAACCTGCAAAAATAATAATAATAAACCAACAACACCAACTCACAACTTTATTTTAATGAGGAGAACAAATACTAATATTTAACATAACACAGTTATGTGCATGTAGCATTTTTAAGAAATCAATAAATAAAATGATGTTTTGAAGTATATTGGCACCTGCACATGTTAAAAAAAAAATGTGACTACAACTTCAGGCTAAGAAAAAAGAGAGACGAAACAGAAATTAAAGGTAGAATGAGTCCTGTGGGGGATAGAATAGAAGGCAGATATTCCACTCTTTTCTGAACAGATCTGCTATTTCTCTGCCTTCTTTTTCTGTTCTTGTTGCTTCCCAGGAGCTGTATGCTGCTCACATGAAGGTACCAACAGCTGTCAGGTGCCTTACTCACCCCCCAAGCCCTGCTGCATCCTCCCTGCCCCATGCTTTAGGCAAGCCAGCTCACAAATCAAAGCCCACTGAAGCAAATACCACAACCTCTGTTGGTGTCACTTTGGACATGACTTAGCTATGCACTGCTGAGGACATTCAACTTCTCATGCTCAAAGCTCTGTTAAATTCAAGTGCTGGTGATAACTGCCTATGATCAGGTAAGCTCTAAAACTTCAGGTCTGCTGAAACTTCAAATCAAACCTACTTTTTTTTTTTTTTTGTCCCCTCATCTTCTTGCCCTAGTCAAAAGCAGGTGCTCCTTCCTCTGCTCCTTGATCTTAGGTGGTGTACAAACTGTCCATTGGCTTCAGGGGTTAAAACAGACTCCACACAATTTCCTCTCCTCAAAGTACTGCCACTTCTCTTTTCCCAGAAAATGCAATATTAAGTTCTCAAGAAGGTAGCTGTGACCATGCATATCAAACTGTCCTGTCAAACATTTTCCAGTTAGCAATGAACATCAGATAACCAGCAAATTGATGGCTGGACTTGATGATCTTAAAGGTCTCTTCCAACCTAAAGGATTCTATGATTCTATGAAACTATTTAAGATTTTGAAACTTTTCAGATTTTAAGATGCATCTCAATACATGTTACAATACAGACCTCGAGCATTTCATAGTATTCTATTCATCCTTTTTTTTTTTTGATGCCCCATATCTCATTTCTTAGAAGCAAATGTGTTTCAAATCCATTAAAACCCTAGTGAGCTTTCAAATAAATTTCTGTAAAATAATTAATAGAGAATGCTGTAGGAAGCTGCTGTGGTACTTGTGCTTTCATTGGGCAGGGTGTGAGGGAGATGGCAAGAACACAGCTGTATAAACAAGGAAAACTGGAAGTCTGTGAAGTGAGAGGGCTGACTCACAGCTTTGGATAGACCAGGTCCAAGACTGGACACTTAAAATACTTCATTGGATCTTGATTTCATATTTTACACTATGACCTAAAACACTGTACAAAACTAGACTGCTTTATTGCATCTCTGTTCACCAAAACCCAAATAATAATAAGAAAGCATCAAAAAAGTAAGAGAGCTTTTTGCATCTAAATCTTAGAAAACTTCAGGAACATCACCATCTCAGAAAAAAATCTCCTTTAAATTCTCTACATCGTTTTAGGGCCACTCATTATACATATCAAAGACTGTCAGTCACACAAGATTTAAGCAGATATCAGAAGCTGCGAGAACAAACAACCCAAAATATCATCTTCAAAAATGAATCCACAATGATAGAGCACAAGACAAGGAAATCTGTAGTGATTTAATTAAAGAATATACATGACTTTGTCAGATAACTAAAAAAAGAATAAAGCCATAGAATAAAAGACCATTTAAGAAAATTATGGGAAACACTTTGAAAATCCACAATGATTGTGAAGCCCAATGTAAACTTAAAATAAATAACATCAAAATTAAAATACTAGATCAAAGTCAACTCATTTGTCTAGAAGATGAAAAGTTCCTACTTAACCTGATAATTGGGAGGACAAACTACAGCACAGTAGGTTACCTGCGAAGTAGGTGACAACAGACAGGACTGTGAGGAGAAAAATACAGGTACCAAGAGTTAAAGCAACAAGATCCCAGATTAAAGATTTATAATGTGAGCTTTAAGGAAGTTTTCAACCTGAAGATGCAATGAGACCTCCAGTCCTCAGTCTTGCTGAAGACTCCTAAGCTAAAACATCTCCTGAACTGCAGTACAAACACAGGTTAAGTCTCTTTATTGAGTAAGCTCTGGAGCTCATTTAGCCACCAATTCATGAAATTAAATTTCCTTGGCTGCTGCTCATAACAGCTATTTATTAGTCCTTAAAATATTCCCCAAGTTTTAAAACTACTTTCAAAGCTATTACCATATTTTCCATCTTTTGCCAGCTTTTAAAAGAGCTGCTGCCCTGTCACTAGCATATGATTAAATTAGTCTGATTCCATTTTAACTTATTAAAAAAATTAGCCCAGAGTTAAAGCAACAACATACTTGCATCTCAGTAGTCATTCTCAGGAAAAAAAAAAAAAAAAAAAAGAAAAAAAGGCAGCCATATACATTTGTTTAATCTTCCAATTGGAAAGATACACTGAAATATTTACTGCTGCTTAGCAATCATTGCTGACTGAAAATCCAACTCCTATGATTACTACATCACCTCCCCATTTTCTGAAGTATTCCTGATAGATACAGACCCACAGACTAAGCCTAGGAAAGAAAGATGAATTCTAATCTCTGAAAGCAAGCCCAGGATCATGCCTCACAAGATAAAGCAGTGAAGAACACCTCTTCTCAGGGAGATACAAAAAGAAGCTTAATGTCACCACCTGCAGTACTAAGCAAAGCAGGATTGGCACAGGCAAATATCCTGTAACAGATCTCCTAATAAAAATGCCAGTCTGAGTTCAACTATGCCAAAATGGATTGCCATGGTTTCTGCTCGTGTAGACAGTCACAATAACAGCAGCAGCAAAAGAGTAACCTCAAAACATCAGAGCCAAATGTCACTAAGGGACGCGTGCATAAGCTCTGAAACAGAACTCACACCATAAAATGAACTGCTAGGGTTCTCTCTGTACCGTTGGACTCAGCCTTGATCTTGCTCTTTTAGAAGAAACAAAACAGAACAAAAAAATTAGCTGCATGACAGAAAAGGAGGAATCTAAAAGCTGCAGTTAGCTTACACAATTCCAACTACAATTTCAAAGAATATGGTAATGAGCCAAATTCTCTTTTTTAACATTTAAGCTCATTCAACTAAAAATGTCTAAGAGGTCTTCAGAGTGCTGTCTGTGGTGTTAGCTTGTTTAGAAGCTAATAGCTACTGCATTCATTTTGTTTAGAAAAAAGGGAAATTTAAAAGAGGAACTTTCCGAGTACTGAACCAGGCAGGAAAAACCACAGAATCCTAGAACCACTTTGGTTGGAAAGGACCTCCAGGATCATCAAGTCCAACCTTCCTCCCAACACTTCCCTAGCCACCAGACCACAGCCTCAAGTGCCACAACTACTCGTTTTCTGAAACTCTCCAGGGATGGTGAGTCCACCACCTCCCTGGGCAGCCCGTTCCAGTGCCTCACCACTCTCTCTGTGATTAAATTCTTCCTGATATCTAATCAAAACCTCCCCATGGGCAAGCTGAGGCCATTTCCTCTCATCCTATCATCGGTAATTGGGGAGAAGAGACCAACACCAGCCTCACTACAGCCTCTTTTTAGGTAGTTGTGGAAAGCAATAAGGTCACCTCTCAGTTGTCTCTTCTCCAGACTAAAGAGCCCCAGTTCCCTCAGCTGCTCCTCATAAGGCCTGTTTTCCAGCACTATCACCAGCCCGTTGACCTTCTCTGGACCTGCTCCAGCACCTCAATGTCCTTATCCTGTGGTGCCCAAAACTGGAACTGGACAAAGGACTCAAGGTGTTGTCTCACCTGTGCCAAGTCCAGGGGCACGATCACCTCCCTACTCCCGCTGGTCACACCATTTCTGATCCAGCCCAGGATGCCATTGGCCTTCTTGGCCACCTGGGCACACTGCTGGCTCACGTTCAGTCAGCTGTTCACCAGCACCCCCACATCTTTTTCCCCCATGCAGCTTTCCATGCAG